AAAAAAAAAAAAGGACAAAACACTGATCATTTCCATAAGAAGCACACGGCAGAGACTGGGTAGGCCGAGATTTCTCAGTCGTAAAATACCCTGTAATGAAAGTGAGTGTTTTGAGTAGATTTGGACGTTCTTTTAATTAACACTTACTCCAGTATCCAGTCATTATCGGCGACCTCGGGGGACACACAATAGCCACCGGTGGAAATTATGCCGTCTAGATCGAAACACAACGCCGCGACTCTCAGGCCGTTGTTTCCCTATGGTAATCATGAGGATATGTACATCCATCAGCCGCGGGACACTTACAATGTCCTCGTAGCAGACTTCATATTCTACAACGTCGAGATTAGCGTAACCGTACTCACACTCTCCGCCGTCGCTGAAGGTAGTCAGTGTCTGTGCCGGTGCGATGAAGTAATCGGCTGTTCAAGGAAAGCTATTATTCCTGTGGCTTGGTTGAATAGGGATTTGTGCGTACGATCCTGAGCTTGAACAGCTTCCGAAAGCACGTAACAGGCATTCTCTGTGGCTTGATCGGCGATGTCCTCACACTCTACAGAGCCTGGATATGCACCATGGGTGAGGACAGCTTTCCATCTCAGGAGTGTTACTCACAGTCTATATTGCAGTTGACAAGCTGTCGCTTCTGCTTGGGCATCGCAGCGCGCCCGGCAATCGATTGTGTATCTGTCACGTTACCCCGCAAGGAAGCAAACCCGGGGCAGGAGCGAGTGGTGACTGAATATTCCTTTTCATTGTGAACAAAGGTATTGGTGCTTATGACTTCTCCATCTGTCCCACAGGCCTCCTTCACATTGGGGGCAGCTATACACAAGCATTGAAGCAAGAGCCCGTGAGAGACAGACCTTATGGCAAGATAGCTTCAATACGCACCTCGGACTGCGGATGCAACGAAAGACGCAATAACAACGACGGAAAACCAAGTGAGCTGCATTCGAGCGAAATCGTTTGGGTCAGGTTTAGCTTTTATTCCTTTATCTTGATGGTTGTCCAAAACATTTATATATGTCTGCGCGGCGCAGCCTGTATGGATGATTTGTTTCCCCTCTTCGTATCTGATCTCACAACTTCATGCGAATGCAGACCCTCACAGTCCTCTTTGATAATGCCAAGACACTGTACATATTCGTTCGATGTCAAACGTGGCTCACCATCTCACAAGGTTGGACTAGAGAACATCGGAGTTTGCATTACTGTACCTGGTCGAATCCAACGTTCATGCGCGTCTTGTTGTGCGGTTCTCAAAACGGCACTGTCATTGCGATTAAATCACTTCGCCAGGGCCGCAGGGCACGAGACGCTCTATTACAATGCCCAAAAATTCATCGACGGCTCTTCTCCGGCACCATCATTTACGGCACGAAGACTTCAAGTCCGTACTGTAGAATGATTCAAGACTCGCGTAGGCTTGTAGTTCAGCTCAGCCAATACAAATGCTGACATTTCCACACGGATCCTGTATGCATGCTTCGCCGAATATTAGCCTTCAAAGACGGACAGTTCGGAAGCTGAGGTACTAACTATTGACTATCGAACTTGGTGCCCATTAGTTAACTCCGTGTGTTTGACGTGCGTCTCCGGACTCCCGCAAACCGCCGGTCATGCACTGTCGACATGTCTAGACGCGCAAGGCGAGGCTACACCATCACAGGCTGTCTGCTAAGATGATACCATGTGGACAGGGCGACCCGCCGGGGAGGTAATGCGATGTTAATTCCGGGGTGAGTCGTCCACGAGGATACATGTGATCATATTCAGGTATGTTCGTGGTCGGCCCGGTAAACGGGAGCAGGACGACATCAACCTTGTTAGTGTATGTATTTCCGCAAATTGACCAGCTAAGTTGCGGTATTACGTATATCTGTCCTGGATATGTAGGCATCTGTCACGAGATATTGTGTTCTCGAGTGTGTGTTGATTCTTTTCTGCACAGATACCTCCTAGGCCAACGTCAAATGAGTCTACAATGCGATACATCCGATAGATTAGATAATGGAGTTGCGAGCTACAAGTCCGAAAGGCTTCGAAGTGTGCGCGTGGTGGACTGTCGAAGACATTACTTTATGCAGTCAAGCCTCGCTTTTGCATCCGACCATCACGAACTGCCAGGCCTAGAGGCATATCTGGGCATTAACAGCGCACCTAGACAGGCAGGAATCAATTTTGTCAGCACTGCCTTTGATACAAGAGTATCGAAAATACTTGCGAGTAATGACTCATCACAATGTGCATTCATCACGTCCGGAGTGCTCTATCCGCCTGTTTCTCCGAGCGAGACCACCGATTAGATATATCATTATAGAACAGTCAAGCCACACGGGGAACGCTAGTCCTGTCTGATCGACGTCGTACATAGGACAGGCTCACCACTTTGGATCCCCGTCTGTCAAACATGTAATCCAGCGTGAACCACGGCCCCAGGGAGATCGTCTCAGGGTTTTGCACGTTCATACATGCCTGCTGGGCAAGAATATCGGTGCGGCCACGCTGCCACTGTTTGTCCCTGGAAAATCATCCGTAATCGAAGAACGCCCAGCCTAGACCAGCACTCGGACTAGACATGAGACAACACATACCATATCCAAACATTTTGTCGCTCACAAAATGTCAAACACAGTACCGGGATCCGGCTCGAACGTGCACGGAGTCGGGGAGCCTCAGAGCGGATGTATTGTGTCGAGGACCATAGCTCACGCGTGAGCATTGGCGTGAGGACTGATACTAGTCGACTCCCCCTACGCGGACGCCTAGGACTGCAAGCGGCATGTCATTTCTGACAAGCTCTGTGGTCGTCGACCAGCGAGAATGCTCAAGTCATCGGCGAAGAGACTCGCGGGACCGGCGGGGGCGGGGGCGGGGGCGGGGGCTGAAGCTGCGATTAA